TCACTTTAGATGTATTTTTATGTTCTGAAACCTTGAATGTGGACCCTTTTACCATCCACTATTACCACAATTTTTGTAAAAGAAAGTCCTCTAACTTTCCTAAATAGGAAGTACATAATGTTAGAATAAAATCAGTCCTTAAAGTCTTGACTGAATTTAGCTGTATTTAGTATTTTTAAAAAGCTCTACCTTGACCTGATTTTCCCCATTTGACAAATAACTGACAAAAATCTCATCCACCACTGCTCAAGAAAATCTTATAAACATGTAAGGGGAGAGCCTCTAACCCCATGAGGTCTGGAGTTGCCCAATTCATGAATCAGTCTGCTCAAATAAACTTCTTAAATTAAAAAACAAAATGTAAGAGATGCTTACTGTTGATTCTCAAATAGATTCCAGAGATAATGTGCTTATTTATAATTATAGAGAAAAAAACACAACCATAATCGATTTCATTGTCTATTTGTTTCTTAGAGTAGAAAAATAAGTATGATGAATAACCAAAAATAATGTATCCAATTTTTTTTCCTGATGGTTGTTCCTAAATAGACTATCTTCCCAAAATCCATGACTACCCTGTTGTATAGGAGATGGTTTTCCAAGTGATTTCACAAGTTTCTGCTTTAACTTTGGTTTAAAAAAAATAAAAAGATAACTATATTTTTCAGTTTTTTATTTGACTTCAAAATTCATCTAAAAAAATCATTGCCTTAAAATGTAGTGATCTTCTAAAAATGGAATTTACCTCTATTTATGGGTTATACTTGTAGAAAAAGTAAATCATTTTAACTAGTGATTTAAATAAGTCCACCTGTTACTTTCTTTAATGCATTAGAAGCTAAAATGTATATTTCTGAGTTTTTACATATTTGCATTTTGTGCTAAATGTAACTTGTTACTAATTTTGGATCAAAGAGAAATTTAAAGGCAATTGGGATATATTCAGAATGAGTATGATGAAATGATCCTGTGGTTTAAGACGATCTTTAGAAGCTAAGACTAATGGCAGAAATCAAGATTTTATCCTTTATTAATAGGCATTGTGTTGATAGAATTTAGTGAGACTATTATTTTTTACATTTCCCATTGCTCTGAAATTTGAGAATGTGTGCTCTTAGATCTAATTCTACTTTTAGCCCAGCTTCATATGACCTTGTATCTAGTGCAAGAGCCCGAGGCAGTTTTTCTGTAACATTAGATTAGAATATTCAGACTAGATGTATTGAGGGAAGAAGGGATCTCAATTTAAGAACTGGGCCAAGGAAACAAAACAATTGGTTTGAAATATTTACATGCTGTACTTTCCCAGCAGAACATTCCAATTTCTAACAACTTCTCATACTGTTGTCCAGTGCTATTCATTCAATAAGCTTTTAACAGTTGTCTAGGCTGGGCATTATCAGGAAACAGGGTTGCAAAGAAGAATGTCAGAGGCTCTATCCTTACACTAGCTAGTAAAAACTAATAATTACAACAGAGTGAGCTATGAAAGCATTGAAAGTGAAGCAACTGTCTGTGCTTAGGAAAGCGTGGGAAGGCATCAAAGAGAGCAAAAGACGCAGCTTTGCTTTCCTTTCACCAGAGGAGCATGCTCTATTGTTTGATAGGTGGTATGCATGGGACTGGACCAACAGCAACAGAGGTGGAGAGAAAATTTTTGAACAAAAATAGGATACTGCCTCCTCATAGAATTCAAAGTGATTTGCTCAGAATAGGAGGTTATATATTATCTTAATTCTGTGCATCTTTCCTTCATTGCACTTATTCCAATGTGTATGTTTAGATTTGTTTTTGAGATCATTTAATGATACTAGACTGAAAGTTCCTTGAGGACAGGACCATGTCCGTTTTTCTTTACAACTGTGTACTTCCTAGGGATTACACATATGGGACGCTGAATAAATGTATTCGAAGCGAAAAGTAGGAGAGTTCTCAGGAGAGTGTGTATTATTTATCCAATACTGTCATATGAGAGAGCCACTGAATCTGTGAAAAGCATTCCTTTCACCAGAGGAGCATGCTCTATTTTTTTATAGGAAATAACCCATTGAACTTTAAGGTGGCCAGAATTAACCATTTCCCTCCTTTTCTCTTCCTCCATTGGATGAATCATCCCTTTGCCCTTCATGAATGCAACCTTTTAATTACCGATTCAGCCTCTTTGATTACCTGGTATTACTACGATTATCTTCTGGTAACCAGAAAGGTCAATTGAAGGAATTTGGGGGTGTTTTGTTTTTTGTTAGCGATTATGCAGCTCTGCTGACTCTTATCCATCTGTTGCAAGCTATATCATTTGTGGAAGACTATCATTTGTGGAAGACAAATGTCTCACTTAGATTTCCCAATTACATTGCTAAAAACCTGACTTTATACTAATGAAATTCCAGTCTAATGTAGTAGACATAAGAAAGAATGCTCGCACTGTGAGTGAGAAGAAATTGAGGTGTGAGGACTTCTGGATTATTGCTGGGAAAAGAAATTATTTTTATGACATTCCTGGATATACCCTCAGAATTGTTCGCCCTCAATTCTGGTTTATCCCAGTCTCGCTGCCTAAAGCATATTCACACTTGCAAAGACTAGCGACGCCTGAAGCCAAACGCACCCCACCCCTAGCGTCCCAGCAGAGTCAGCAAACATCGAGAATTCTTTTCCGCAGCACACCCGGGAGTGAATGTAGAAGAACATAGCCACCATCTTGATTGTGGTTAAGCGCAGCGCCTGATTGGCGTCACTCAGCCCCAGTGCGCAAACGTATTAGAAGTACACTCTCCCCCCCTACCCCGCCCCGCTTCCCGTGCACGCGCTCGGAGCCCGGAACTCTCGCGAGAGAAGCGAGATTTATTCCTACGTACCGGGCCGTGCTGCTTATGGCGGCGCTGGAGAGGGGGCGCTGAGCTGTTGGGGTGAGTACGACCTCAGGGTCCAAATGGGGGTAGCAAGAGGCCAAACTAAGGGCGGATGAGAAGACCAAGACTAACGGGAAAGACTTCTGAGTCAAGGTGGGCACCCCCAGAGCTCCGGATAGGAAAGAGCGTACCCTGAGTCCCTACCTCGGGCTTTTTCATCCGTCCCGTGTTCAACCGTCTGGGCCTCACGTTAGGCCGCAGACTGAAGCGAGGAGTTGAGACCAGCGGGGCGCGTGGTGGTAGTGGTGGTGGTGGTGACTAAAGTGGGGGGAGGGAGCGAAAATGGAGGCGCCGACCGCAGCCAAGATGGAGGCAGAGGGTGCGGGGCTCGGACGCGGAGGCTGCTGGGAGCTGTAGTCTGGCCGCTTCCTCCTTTGTGGCTTGGCGGGGGGAACGGGAACTACAAGTCCCGGCGGGCGGGGCGAGGGGGTGGTGGCGCGGTCCTTTGTGTGAGGCTGGAAGAGCCAGAGACAGAGGAGAGGGGCCTACTGTGACTCGGGACCCTATAGTTTCCTGACTGTCACCTGCTTGGGGATCTGACTACGAGTACCAGAGCGCAGTGCGGCAGTGGCGCCTTCTTTGTGTATCGACTGAGACCCCGCTCCGTACAGGGGAAGTGCTTGGTGACATCTCCTTTCCCTAGCCACATCTGGCACAGTAGCGCGGCAGTGTTGGCATCCTTATTTCCAGTCGTCTAGAGCTTAGGTCTCAACACCCAGCCTTCCTCTCTCGCCACCCTTCGGCTTCTTGAGAAAGGAAACCAGCTCCTAATCGTTCAGGCATGTGGCTCTCACCCCTCTATCTTAGGGAAAGGGCGTGCGCTGTGAGAACTCGGTGTCCTCCCTGCCACCTCCTCTGGCTCTCATGGTGCAAGCGGCTGACCCACATTGTGCAATGAACTGCTTGGCTTCGTCATTGTATGTAGGGTTAGTTTTTTAGAGCCTTCAGTCAGAGACATGTTCGACGTTTTTACCATCCGATGTTTTATCAGTATGAAATGGTAGTGCCACGGGTTCTTTTGCCTTAAGATTTTCCCTTAGACGCCCAGATGGCTGCTCACAGGTGAGGCCAGAACGGTCCCTAAACGGGCTTCACTATGCCAAAGGAAAAAATATTTTTTGTTTTAACGTTGTTGGGCTAGTTAATTTTCCCATTTTGCACCTTAAATGAGTGAAAGAATGTGGTGCTTTTTAAACAGGAAAGAGAGGGGATGCTCAAAGGCACTGTGGTAATTAAATCTGTTTCTTTTGAGAGACTTAAATTTTTATCAGGCTGGTATGAATTAGCAATTCTTAGCCAGAGCTATCAACCTACTGTTTAACACATTAACTGCCATCCGAGTTGTATTTAACTCAAGCTAGTTTTGAGCCCTGGACCTCGCGAAGCATATGTAATTCACACATCTCTTCACCTTGTGAGCCGCGAGAACTATTTTTCAAATTGCATGTAACTCACAGAAAATAATAAAAAATAAATTTTTCATTAAATTAGAAAGGATCATTTTGTTTTCGAAGATTTTATTCTATTTTCATAATAAAACACCATGACCCCAAGGAAAAATTTTTATTTTCTAGTGTGTCAGTCAAGGTGTTAAAACCGTAAGTCCCAAATTATAGCCCACTAATATAAGCTATTCTATACCAAAACGCTGAGTAATTTTCGAGTTACTGGAAGGCAGAGATTCTCAATATTACAATGAAAGTCAGTATAATACATCCCTTAGTGTTCTTTTGGTACTGACCAATGATGAGTATCCTTAGTGCGGGTTAAGGAGGGAGTTTATGTACTTGAATAGACATGTACCTGAGTCCTAAAACCTAGATAAATATTCAAACTTGTTTCTTTTTAGCCCTAGGACGAAATAAAAAGGTGGTAGTAGTTTGAGTGGTTTTGCAGCTGCTCTGGATGTTTACCATCGAGATGAGTATTTATAGCAGCTGAGTTGAAAAGTAAAGTATTTGAGGCACAGAAGATAGGTTTTCCTTTTTTGTAAATAAGTTCTGACTTAACAAGTGTGACCTTTGAAGAGTGTGGTTGAAAATTCTGGTAAATTCCTAGCAAATGAAAATTGAGAATGTGAAAGATGACATGCAGTCTTGCTTTATCTCACCCATTTCCCTCCCTCCCATGTAAAAACACATGGTGTCTGTCCATCCTTTTTTGTTTTAAATCGTGCTAAAATATACATCACGTAAAATTGACTGTTTTAACGTTTTTTAAGTGTACAATTCAATGGCGTTAAGTACATTCCCATTATATGAGAGCCATACTTTCAACAGGATAGTTGAAACATGGAGATTCCTTTTGGGCAGATTTTTGAGGAGTTAAATTTTATGACTGTATTACAAAACAAAGTAAAAGTCTTGTTAAATAAACAGAATTGATGTGCTTTCTTAGCTTTGTCTTTTCAAAAAACAAAGAGGAAACCACTTTGATATCTTGGGCTCAAACTGTCTTATGGAGAGCTATTAAAACTTTCAGGATTTTCCATAATATAACATTACAGCTAGAAAGATTATAGTTCTGTTTTGTAAGGCTTGATAGCTAGACTGTCTTAAGTGGTGAAACTGCTGTGGTGAGAATGACTTGCAGTTAAATCCCTTGTGCCCATTCAGGATTTTAAAAATTCCTTTGTCTTGATATTAGAATGTTTCCCACTTGCATGTGTGAGTACCTAGTTAAAAACAAAACTTTTCTCATATCTAACATCTCCTTTTATGCTGAGGTAAAAATATCAGTGTGTAGTTGAAAACAGGTTGATCAGCAGTTTCCTCACATTGCACATGTAGGCTATCCATTTGTTTAAAACTAAGGCCAGTGCGTAACCAGTTAGTTATTTGCACTTTTCCTTCTCCAGTTTAGTAACTATAAGATTCTGCTGTGGCCAGGTCTATGCTAGATATTGCCTACTTTTTAGCCACATGTGGCTATTGTACACTTGAAGTGTGACTAGTGTGAATTGAAATGTGCTGTGATTGTTTAATAAAACTACATAGGATTTCCAGGAATGTAAAAATGTCAGTTTTTTAGATCGATTACCTGTGGACAGTAATAACATTTTGGATATAATCAGTTCAGTAAGACATTTAATTAAAATTAATTTCATCTGTTCTTTTGACTTTATGGTTCTGAGAAAATGTTCACTTGGTGTGCTCAGTGAGTAGTAAGAAAAAATAAAAAGAAAAAAAAATAGAAAATTATATATGTGGTTTACCACAATCTTTCTGTTGGACAGTGCTGGTCTGTGTTGTTCTCTGATGTGTCTGGAGCATTTCTTCAGCAGCATCTCACACTGGCATTTGTCCTACTTGAAAGTATTAGTGCTTCTGTAAGCAGTTAAGTGATAGATAATTACCTGAACAGCTACTGAGATACTTAAAATTAACAGCCTAGCACAACTGTTACTGCTAAGCATGTACAAAAAGATAGTTTCATCAATTTGATTTTCTTTTGTTTGCATTCAACATGTGATGACTTAGATTGTTTTAAGTTGGTTAATTATCTACACTTTATCATTTACCTTAGATCCCAAAATAAAAGTGCAATAAAACCTATTAGGCACTTCCGTTATACAAGTTATAGCAAAATGTGCCATTCTTGAACTTTAGTTAATGTATAAAGAAATATGAACTGTGAAGTTAAGGCAAGAATATTATTCATAATCAACTTCCCCGCACCTCCACTGAAAAATTATTTAAGAATGGCACTTTGTGAAATGTCAGACAACAGAGAACCTTTTCAATCCTGAGCTACCCATTTGGGTTTTTGTTTTTCCTCTTAAGGAAGAAGGTACTCCCCTAGAGAAGTTAGGTGGGGAGATTTTTATCAACTAGTTTAGCCTTTCATTAACATTCTCCCCCAAGTGAGTGCTGTACATACTTTGAAAATAATTTGTCAAAATGATAATGCTAGATAGTGTGATACATTTTAGATGGTTTACTTACCACATGAATGTATTAGTTTAACATGTATTAGTATTAATTTAGTGCTTACAGTGTGCCTGGGTTCTTCTAGGCCTTTGAGATAGATAAAGCAGTGAACTGAGGTAGTAAATAATAAAACAGGTGGTGATAATTTTAAAACAAGTGATGTAGGGAATAACCATTGGATTCAGTTCAAGTAAAGGAATTAACTTTAACTCCTGAAACAATATAATAGGTGATAATAATGACACTGTTTCCATGCTGAGCAAAGGAAAAAAGAAGTTGATTACTTAGCCGTCAGGGAGTCTCTCAGATCCGTGTTTAAATTGTTGCCTAGTTTTTTGATTAGTACCCTATGTTTCATATGACTTAAGTTTCTGGCTTTTGGGGAGATGAGGGGAGAAATGCTCCTAACTGCAGAGAGTTAAGGCAAAAGAAGTTGTCAATACCACCAATGAATGTTAATCCTGGCTTGAGTGGTTAACCAATTTTATTAAAATGCCTGATCAGTACCTTGGAGTCCTTCAGTAAGTTTTAATTTGATTGAAAAACATTTAGTTAACTATAGAAATCTCATAACTGTGAAGACACTAATTTAGCCACTCTCAATTATTCATGATTGTTGGTAGGTTCATTTGAGCTTTACTAGATCGTAATAAGGGCCTCATCAGTACCCAGGACTGGCCCTGCAATATTCCATATTTTAGATTCTGGAAGTCTCAATATTTGTGTTACTGCAAGACAAACTTGACAGTTCTTAATTTAATACACTCTAGATTGAGTTAATCCAGTTAAAGTTTTTCAAGATAAGTTTTTCCCCATATACATAGCCTTGTCCTTAATCTTGAGTTCCTTGGGTTCATAAATAGACCTAAGTTATTAAGGTAAAATCATTATACAAAGTCTGTATTTCTAAAAGAAGATACTGTTATTTCTTGATTGGATAAGTAAGCCCTTTATACAGTTAAAATTGGTAGAACTGTCTACACTTGAATTGTGTCCTCTTAACGTATTATGGATTAACAACCATTTACTAAATATTAGTTTCTGCTGTGGTTTCTATAGCAGCACTGAGTTAGGTCCTAAAGGGGACTGTCATAAAGAAATAAACTTAAGGAACAAGATACATAAACATGAAGTGAACAAAGTACAGAAATGATTTAATACCAAAAGCATTGATGCAGGCAGTGAACGCTAATGCCCCACTTAGTGGAAATGAACAAGGTAATGAGTGTCTGCTAGAATGGTCAAAAAAGGCTTTTTTGTCACCTTGAAGATAGAAAAATTGTATTTTTTTGTAGGGAAGACCCATATGAGCAAAGAAGGCTAGAATTCAGGAATCTCCCAAGAGCTGTATTTAAGGATTAGGGAAAGGAGTAGATGTATCTAGAAGAACTGGAAAGTAGTAGAAAGTAAAGATGGAAAGGTAGAATAGAGTCACCTTGAATAGTGGTTCTTAATCCTAGCTGCAAGTCAGAGAACATCTTTAGGGGTAGGGGGATTAAAAAAATATACCAGTGCCTGGGACCTAACCTATTACGTAGTTAAATTTAGAATCTATGTGTGAGATTTTTTAAGATTGCTCAGGTATTAGCATTGGATGGGTAGCCAAGATTAAGAAGCTCCCATCTAGGGTGCTGGAAAAATAACTAAAGATTTTAGACAGGGGAAATGAGGTGAAATTGGAATTTTTGATAGCATCAGTCTGGTGGTGTTATATGACAGA